GCCTGGCGATTTTCTTTCTCTCTCGCACTTATACGCGAGACGCTTGGCTATTTTCTATCTCTCTCGCACACCTAGGCGAGCTGCCTGGCGGTTTTCTGTCTCTCTCGCACACCCACGCGAGTGAAGGTAGGGTGCAACCACTCTCAGAGGGTGGCGGGGGAACGCCATGCGACTTTCTTTCTCTCTCGCACTGATACGCGAGACGCTTGGCTATTTTCTATCTCTCTCGCACACTTAGGCGAGTTGCCTGGCTGTTTTCTGTCGCTCTCGCACACCCAGGCGAGTGAAGGTAGGGTACAACCACTCTCAGAGGGTCGCGGGGGAACGCCATATGATTTTCTTTCTTTCTCGGACTTAAACGCGCGACGCTTGGCTATTTTCTATCTCTCTCGCACACTTAGGCGAGCTGCCTGGCTGTTTTCTGTCTCTCTCGCAACCCAGGCGAGTGAGGTTAGAGTGCATCCGCTCTCAGAGGGTCGCGGGGGAACGCCATGCGCCTGCTTTGCCGAAAAAACAACGCAAGTCCCGCCTGGCGATTTTCTTTCTCCCTCGCACTTATAGGCGAGACGCTTGGCTATTTTCTATCTCTCTCGCACACTCAGGCGAGCTGCCTAGCTGTTTTCTGTCTCTCTCGCACACCCAGGCGAGTGAGGGTAGGGTGCAACCACTCTCAGAGGGTCGCGGGGGAACGCCATGCGATTTTCTTTCTCTCTCGCACTTATACGCGAGACGCTTGGCTATTTTCTATCTCTCTCGCACACTTAGGCGAGCTGCCTGGCTGTTTTCTGTCTCTCTCGCACACCCAGGCGAGTGAGGGTAGGGTGCAACCACTCTCAGAGGGTCGCGGGGGAACGCCATGCGATTTTCTTTCTCTCTCGCACTTATACGCGAGACGCTTGGCTATTTTCTATCTCTCTCGCACACTTAGGCGAGCTGCCTGGCTGTTTTCTGTCTCTCTCGCACACCCAGGCGAGTGAGGGTAGGGTGCAACCACTCTCAGAGGGTCGCGGGGGAACGCCATGCGATTTTCTTTCTCTCTCGCACTTATACGCGAGACGCTTGGCTATTTTCTATCTCTCTCGCACACTTAGGCGAGCTGCCTGGCTGTTTTCTGTCTCTCTCGCACACCCAGGCGAGTGAGGGTAGGGTGCAACCACTCTCAGAGGGTCGCGGGGGAACGCCATGCGATTTTCTTTCTCTCTCGCACTTATACGCGAGACGCTTGGCTATTTTCTATCTCTCTCGCACACTTAGGCGAGCTGCCTGGCTGTTTTCTGTCTCTCTCGCACACCCAGGCGAGTGAGGGTAGGGTGCAACCACTCTCAGAGGGTCGCGGGGGAACGCCATGCGATTTTCTTTCTCTCTCGCACTTATACGCGAGACGCTTGGCTATTTTCTATCTCTCTCGCACACTTAGGCGAGCTGCCTGGCTGTTTTCTGTCTCTCTCGCACACCCAGGCGAGTGAGGGTAGGGTGCAACCACTCTCAGAGGGTCGCGGGGGAACGCCATGCGATTTTCTTTCTCTCTCGCACTTATACGCGAGACGCTTGGCTATTTTCTATCTCTCTCGCACACTTAGGCGAGCTGCCTGGCTGTTTTCTGTCTCTCTCGCACACCCAGGCGAGTGAGGGTAGGGTGCAACCACTCTCAGAGGGTCGCGGGGGAACGCCATGCGATTTTCTTTCTCTCTCGCACTTATACGCGAGACGCTTGGCTATTTTCTATCTCTCTCGCACACTTAGGCGAGCTGCCTGGCTGTTTTCTGTC